GTCTAGCCTCTTTGCAGGGAGTTCTGCTGAAGGGTTCCCTGCTGGGCCTGCACTCTGGGTCAAATCAGGATCCAGTGGGCTCCAAGTGGTCTCATTCACACACCGTGCCTGTGCTCTGGGTCTATTCAGGATCCGGGAGCCCTGGGAAGTCTCACTTACTTGCTGGACCTGCGATCTGGGTCTATTCAGGATCTGTATGCCTGGGTCCTCTCATTCACTTGCCAGGCCTGCGCTCTGGGTCTATTCAGGATCCGGTGGCCCCGGGCATCTCTAGAGAGAATTCTTAACAATTCTTAACAACACCTCAAAACTGTGTGCACACTGTTGTCACTTATTGGCTTCTTTTTTGGCTTGATTTTAAACAGTGTCCTCCAGTCAGGCACAGCTTAAACTCTGTCCTGGGACCTATCTTATAGTGCTCAGACCTGCTCATGCATCTCTCTGCAGAAAAAGTCAAGGGTATTCTTTATCCAAGTTCTCATCCCTGTTCTTCAATTTAACTTCTTTAAAAAACAATTATTTGGCCAGTAAGGTAGCTCAGTAGACTAGGTGTCTGCTTAGGCAAGTGCAGGGACCTGGATTTGATCCCTAGCACCATATGTGTGTCAGCCCGGACCCTGGGTGTGCTGAACTGGCCATGGAGACTGGATGTAGTGGCACACGCCTGTAATCTCAGTGCTAGGAAGGCTCAAAACAGGAGGATCACTGCAAGTAGGAGCTGCATAGTGAGGCCATGTACTAAATACGTGAAAATAAATAAAATTTATTTATTAAAGAAACAATTATTAGCATTAGGCAAACTTTTTCTGGGAAAATCCTCTCAATCCTTAAGAATACTGTCTATTTCTTTGTCTCTGATAAGATGATCAGAAGAGCTTGACATCACTATACTTCCCTTAAGATGAATATTTAGCTTTATTCATCATGTTGTTACATGATATCTTCATTTTCATCATATTATTCTGTTCTATATTCTCAACTATACTTTATATTCCTTGAGAGTGATATTTACTTTTCTTATCAAGTTTCCTAAAGCTGAGACCATGTTTAATGAAACCTTCTGTGGTTGATGAGTGTGTACTGGTAATACCAAATCCTCTTAGTTTATGAAATAACCATTCCTTCCTCTAATATTGTGTTCTTTTTTTATGTAGTAGCTCACTGTAGAACAGGCCAAGAATCTCTGGGTTCCCCTGACAGAAATTTATAGGAAATTGACCTATTCAATGCATACTTTTTTTTTTTTTGGCAGAACCAGGGATTGAACTCAGGCCTTTGTGCTTGCCAGGGAAGCGCTTATTCCACTGTGCCATCTCCCCGGCCTCAATGCATACTTCTTGTGAACATAGCTTCCCTCTTGGGACAAGTTGACTTTATATTTTGAGCCTTGGGCACAAGTTAGCTTAAACCTTGATGAAAGGAAGGCTTGTTGTGAAAGTGAAAGCCACAGCAGATATCTGCCTCAAAAATTCTAGGACTAATGCTAGGCTTGCATTGGTGACTTGTGTTACTGAAAATGTCCTCCCAACGATATCTTTCTTTTCACATGTCT